CAACATTTTTAACCTGTACTTTTAACCCTTGTTATGTCACATTTGGCGTTGCTGGCAGGATTCCGCTAAGTTAAAGGGGCAGAGACTTTTTTTGTTTGTTTTTTTTTTGTTAACTTTCCTATTTAATTCCTGTAAAAAAAAAAAAAAAAATCCAGGGCAGCGGTGGTGGTGTTGGGACCCAAACATTTTTTTCTTCAGGACCTTTGGCAGTTTCTTGAGCTGACATGGAAGAAGTGCAGCAGCTAAAAGATCTTGTTTTACAGCTTCAGGCGGATAATGAGCGGCTCCGTCGGGATCGTGCTGGTTCCTTGGACCCTGGCGAGGGCGCCTCTCAGTCCTCCGCTTCACATGCACAGTCCCCCACCCCCGCTGTAGCGGAGCGGTTGTTGGTGGTACCAAGGGACCGCAAGTGCCCCATCTTTAATGGGAAGGCTGGCTTGGGGATCGCTGAATGGGTCGAGGAGGTTGAGGCATGTATGCGGGCCCGACATTTGACTGCTGTGGACCGGGCTCTTTTCATCTTTCACCACTTGGAGGGAGAGGCTAAACAGGAGATCAAGTTTCGTCCCGCTGATGAACGTAGCGACCCAGGTAAAATCTTGTCCATTTTAAAGGAGCTCTATGGTTGCCATCAGTCTTACATAACTTTGCAACAGGACTTCTTTGCTCGGCGTCAGATGGAGGGTGAGAGCCTTCAGGAATTTTCAATAGCTTTGATGTCCCTGATGGCGCGAGTTAGACTGCAGGCCCCAGACGGAATGCCAAATGCAGAAGTGTTGTTGAGAGATCAATTTACAGAACATGTACTGGATTGTGCTCTGCGCCGCGAGCTTAAACAGCTGGTTCGAAGGCAGCCCACACTTATTTTGATGGAGCTTCGTGCTGAGGCGATGAGGTGGGAACGTGAGGGCCAGCCAGGGGGCGCTCGGGGTTGTAGCTATTCCTTACCATCAGCTCTTGGCTTCCAATGTGGCGTGCAGGGTGGTGCCCAGACCAACCCTCCGGGTGGGCAGTCTGGGCCTACAATGAAAGAGCTTATGGATCTACTCAAGCAACAGCAGGAACAGTTGAATAAATTAACTCAAACAGTCATATCATTGCAGGCCCCTTCTCCACATGAGGATGGTTCACATTCAGTTCTCCTTTGCTGGCGATGCCAACAGCCTGGGCATTTTGCACGGGATTGTACTGGTCCCCGGGTTTACAATCAACTGCGAAGTAGGGTGGGTGGTCAGAGGTCAGGACATTCCTATGGGCAGTCGGAAAACTAGCACCCACTGAGTTGTTGAGCCGCAGCTCAGGCGGGGAGCCCTTAGGCTTACAGATAGACCCAGCCTGTGGACTGGTGGCGCCGTGCCCAAATATGGAAGTTTCCATTGGGGGTGTTTTGGTCTCTTGTTTGGTGGATACTGGTTCCATGGTTTCTACCATTACGGAGAGTCTGTTTCACGAGCAGTTTGCTGAATGGGGCCAAGATCGCCTTCGTTCCTGCAGCTGGCTTCAGCTTAAAGCTGCAAATGGACTGGAGATCCCCTATATCGGGTACTTAGAACTTGATGTGGAATTGTGCGGCAAAATTGTTTCACGCTGTGGGATTTTAGTGGTGAGGGACCCCCCTGGTGCAGTTTCTTCCACTCCTGGTATCTTGGGGATGAATGTTATACGCCGATGCTATGCAGAGCTTTTCAATGCACTGGGCTCTTCTCTTTTTGAGGCTCCTGCTGTAGTGGGGGCACCTCAACCTGTCATCATTGCTTTACAGCAGTGCCATGCTGCCGACTTGGACAGGGATGTGGCCACAAGTACGGTGAAGGTTCGAGGGAAGCGGGCAGTCAGAGTGCCTGGAGGAATGGTTAAGTTAGTGGCTGGCACTTGTTCAGAGAAGTTGGCAGGAGGTAATGTCTTGTTAGAACCGCCGGAGACTGGATTGCCTGCTGGTCTGCTTGTGTCATCTTGCCTAGTACGAGTGGTTCGTGGGACAGCGTATATTCCGGTTGTCAATGTGGGGACGAAGGCTGCTCTTCTCTACCCACGGACCACTCTTGGCAGGCTCAGCGAGGCACAGGTTGTCAGTCTGCCGGCCTGCATTACAGAGGATCGAACTACGACTGCCTCTGTGAACTCTCAGAACATTGGGCCCTCTATGCCTGAGAGAGTTGCATCATTGGAGCTACCGGCTCTGGTAGATCAGGACGCTGAAAGGGTGAGGGGTCTGTTGGGTGACTATGAATCAGTGTTTGCAACTCATGAAACTGATTTGGGCTGCACTAACCTTCTTTCACATGATATCCCTTTGGTTGACGAGGTTCCGATTAGACAGAGGTACCGTCGCATCCCGCCGTCAGAGTACGAGGCCGTTAAGGCTCACATCAACCAGCTGCTTGAGGCTCAAGTAATTTGTGAGAGCTGCAGCCCGTACGCCTCACCAATTGTTTTGGTGCGGAAAAAGGATGGCAGTTTACGCCTCTGCGTAGACTACCGCCTGCTTAACAGCAAAACGCGGAAGGACGCTTTCCCTCTGCCTCGGATCGAGGAGACACTAGACTCGCTATCTGGGGCTGTCTGGTTCTCAACACTCGACTTGGCCAGTGGCTACAATCAGGTCCCTGTGACGGAGGCAGATCGGCCCAAAACAGCCTTTTGTACCCCCTTCGGCCTTTTCGAGTTTAACCGCATGCCTTTCGGGCTGTGTAATGCCCCGGGCACCTTCCAGCGGCTGATGCAGAGGATGTTTGGGGATCAGCAGGGTCAGTCCTTGCTGCTATACCTCGATGACATCATAGTCTTCTCATCCTCTGTCGAACAACATCTCCAGCGGCTGGGAAGTGGTGCTCGGGCGGCTTAGGACGGAGGGCCTAAAGGTGCGGCTCGAGAAGTGCTCATTCTTCCAGCGCGAGGTGGGGTACTTGGGCCATGTAATCTCAGATCAGGGGGTGTCTACTGATCCCAAAAAGATCGAGGCAGTGTCCCAGTGGAAGCGTCCCCAGAATGCCCCTGAGCTGCGCTCATTCTTGGGCTTTGCTAGCTACTACCGCCGGTTTGTGGAGGGGTTTGCTAAGTTGGCGGGCCCTCTACACCGGCTGGTAGCGGAGCTGGCGGGCAGTAAATCAAAGAGGGGCTCGGGCAGTGTGCTTGGGGCTGCTTGGACGCTACAGTGTGAAGAAGCGTTTGAGGCCTTAAAAGCAAAGTTGGTGTCTGCGCCTGTCTTGGCGTATGCAGACTTTGCAAAGCCTTTTATTTTAGAGGTGGACGCTAGTTATAGTGGCCTGGGAGCTGTCCTCTCCCAAGAGACACCCAGTGGGGTGAGACCGGTGGCTTACGCTAGTCGTGGATTGCGGCCCACAGAGCGCAATATGGCAACTTATAGTTCCATGAAGCTCGAATTCTTAGCGCTCAAGTGGGCGATGACGGAGAAGTTTCGCGAATATTTGTTGGGTCACAGGTGCACGGTGTACACTGACAATAATCCGCTTAGCCATCTCCAAACCGCAAAGTTGGGGGCGACAGAGCAAAGATGGGCCGCTCAGCTTGCTACCTTTGACTTTGAAATAAGGTACCGTTCGGGTCGAAGTAACAAGAACGCGGATGCTCTATCCAGGCAGCACCCGTCGGGCTCGGAGACCATGGCTCAATTGATGCCTGGTACCCAAACCCCCCTTCAGCTGCAGCATGGGCCGGTGCTATGCGACAAACTCACGGCCACCCAATCGCTGGTCTCTGCTCTCCCAAGCCACTCAGCGGCCCACCTTAGATCCTTACAGGAGGAGGACCCCTGGTTAAGGGAGGTTCTTGGGTATTTGCGGCAGCAAACTAATCCCTCTCCTGCTGAGCGGCGTCTTCTTTCAAGGCCTGCCCTGGCCCTGCTGCGCCAACGTAAACGTCTGGTGGAACAAGAGGGAGTTCTCTTTCGCAAGACGTACCGTTCAGATGGGGGAGAGGAAATCTTACAGCTTCTCCTGCCAGTTTCTTTACGGGCTGAAACCTTGGGCAGTCTTCATCAACAACATGGCCATCAGGGCATGGAAAGGACCGCAGAATTGGTCCGTCAGAGGTGCTATTGGCCGGGAATGTTCAATGACGACCGGAATTGGGTACAGGAATGTGAGCGGTGCCAGGTGGCAAAGGACACCGGACAGGGGTCACGCAGTTACATGGGTCACCTGCTAGCTTCCCGCCCAAATGAGATCTTGGCCATAGATTTCACATTGCTAGAACCTTCGCGAAATGGACATGAGAATGTCATGGTTATGATTGATGTGTTTAGTAAGTTTACTGTTGCGGTTCCTACACGAGACCAAACTGCTCCTACAGTGGCCCATGTGTTGATTTCAGAGTGGTTTTATAAGTTTGGGGTTCCAAGTCGCTTGCATTCTGACCAGGGGAGGAGTTTCGAGAGTGCCTTGATTCGACAGCTCTGCTCATTGTATGGGGTGGAAAAGTCGCGAACAACGCCGTACCATCCGGCTGGCAATGGCCAATGTGAGCGATTTAATCGCACACTTCATAACCTTCTTCGCACGTTACCATTGCCACAGAAGAGTAACTGGGCTGCTTGTTTACCTCAGGTGCTCTTCTGCTACAACACCACACCTCATCAGGGTACTGGGGAGTCTCCATACTACCTGCTGTTTGGTCAAGAGCCAAGGCTCCCGATAGACTTCCTCCTGGGGAGAATTGATGAGCCAAGGCCAGGCGAGGTACAAGGCTGGGTAGCAGAACACCAGGAGAGGCTGAGAGCTGCTTTCAGTTGTGCTCGTGAGAGGCTTCTGGTGGCTGCAAACCGCAGGAAGGAGCGGTATGATCTACATGTGCGGGACACACCACTGGTGGTGGGTCAGCATGTCTATGTGAGGGACCATAGTGCCAGAGGGCGAAACAAGATCCAAGATCTTTGGAGCCCAGTGGTCCATCAGGTTGTGCGTGTCCCACCTGGACAGGGTGTAGTTTACTCAGTGGCCCCGGTAGATGATTTGGGTAGAGCTAGGAACTTGCATCGTGACATGCTGAAACCAGTGGTGAAACCTGCAGAGGTGGCACATCTGGCGCCCCACTCCCCATCGGAACCAGAAGTGACCCCTCTTCATGACTCTTCAAGTAGTGATGTGTGGCTCCTGGTTTCTGAAACTAATGGGCCAGTGGGTGCTCCCAGTGCACCACCTTGTGTTCCCCCCAGGTCTGGGCCAGATCTCGGTCAGGCTACTTTCACCGCTGTACTACCTGGTCATGAGGCGCCCCCTTTGGTTGACCCGGACCACCCAACATTGCGTCGCACCACCCGCCATGGTGCGGGCCAACATTCAAACATTTACCGGCTCCCTCGTCATACTCGGCCATTGATACGTGAACACGGTGGCGCGTCGAATCCTAGCTCTAACCTTCAGGCTGCCATCTTTCGGCCGTGGTCCTAACTGTCTATCGTCGGGACGACGATACAAAGGTGGGGGGTAGATGTAGCAGTGTGGAGTGCGTCTGCCCTCCCCTTACCTGTTTCATTGAAACACCACCTCACGCACCTGCCTGCCACTAATTGCAGGGGCAGGACCTGTGGGTTGTTTTTTTTTTGCCACTCCTGCGGGAAGCAGCAGTCTCTTTGGGTCCGTGGAGTTGTGCTGGTGGGGAGCCTCACACAGTGGTTGGTGGCCCTGTTGGCACGTATGTGGGCTTGTGCGGCGTGAGCGCTGCCCTGGGAAACGCCTTCTGCTCGTTGTGTGTGGCCAGCTCCTCCAGTGTGGCAAACCTTAGTGAAGGGCTTGTGTGAGCCCATTGTGCTTCTCAGACGTTACTTGTGGTTGGTGCTAAATTACGCACAGCGGAGGTTGAGAGCGCGCCTCCGTTCGGGGTCTGGGGGACCGGTGCTTTCTCTGATTGCGGGACCGAGCTGCACCTCCCGCGGCAGTTTGGAGACTGCCAATCATCACAAGTACACAAATTCTGAGCCCCGTTTCCACCGGCGCAGCTCCTCCTGCCTCCACTGCTCTGGATTGACCCCACAGGCCAGAGTCGCTCCAGTTGTGGACACTGATCATCAATATTAGGCCCACAGAGCACCTGGACACCCAGCTTGTAAATTTGTACATTTTAACTGTAATTGAGTTTAGGATTGTTTAATCTTTTTTTTTTTTCTTTGTCCTTTGCATGTGTGTGTGTGTGTGTGTGTGCATGTGTTTTTTTGTGTTTGGCTTTTGGCAGTTACCATTATTAATCAAATGTTCCTAACTTAAAAATGTTTTAATGAAAATAAATTTTGTACTTTTGTAGTCAGGTTTTGGTTTTGTCTCTGCCCCCATCACTTTAAAAAGGGAAGCGAACCTGTGTCTGCCTTGTGCAGGGTCCTAGGCCTATCCTAGGTGGCGTTGTTGACAATAGCAACATTTTTAACCTGTACTTTTAACCCTCGTTATGTCACACTAGGAAAGTGGGTAAGAAAGGCACGATAAAGAGTTTGTGTGTGCACGTGCGAGTGACTGATCCAAATCTGAAAGGGAATAAAGGTTGTGGTAATGGTGGGAATGGTTAATGGGTGTATGATTGAAAATGTATGAATTAATATTTCATTAATATGCAATATTGGCTCTCTGCATATATATGAATACATACATGCATATCCCACCAAAAGGTTACAATGACAAAACAAGTAACAGCACAAAAAATGAATCCATTATGACTGTCAATACTTGCGCTACATTGTGTCCTGTTCTAGTGGTGCGTTGGACCTCTCCACTTGCCCTCTTGAGTTTCTCATTATTGCTACTAACATCCATATCTATATTCATGTTATCAGCACTATTTTTGTGCAAAGCGAGCAAGTGCTGAAACCCATTTTTAAAAGTTAGTGGTCTCTGTAGTGGTATCTATGGAGGACTTTGAGTTGTATGTTTGAGTTTTTGGCCATAAAGTAAATGTTGCGGATTTGGGTCCAGAAATTGGCATCTGGAGAAAATGCGAAGTCTTGACATCGTGTTGGGTAGTGTCAATTCCTGTAAGTAATTTGCATAATTGAGTTTGTTTTTGGGAGTGAACTTTAGAAGCTCTGCGTTTAAATGGGCCCAGGTTAACTGTTTGGATATTGATTTTATTTAGGATTATTGCTCTTCATTGTGAGTATTCCAGGAAGCATCTGCAGCAGATGGCATATTCCTGCGACTGTTCTGTGAGTGATGACTGTAATGTGACCTATATGAGTAATACATTTACTTTCCCAGGAGTGAAATATGAATAGAAGGCATTTTTGCTGAATACAAAAAGGTTTATTTCTTGTTCCAAAACAGGCAAAATGTTCAGACATTGGACAGAAAGTGACGCATCAGACCCTCCCTAACATCACTGCCCCCCTCATCTGCACCCTGTGCCACTGCTACCACAGGCTGAACTGTTGCTACAGGTGTGTCCCATTCTGTCACGTAGGTCTCTCCATGATTTTCGCACAGATTGTGCAGAGCACAGCAAGCCAGCACCATAGACTTTACCAGTTCAGTGTCAGAGTCATTCCTTTTCAGAAGACAGCACCATCTTCCTTTAAGCCTGCCGAAAGCATTTTCAACAACCACCCGCCCTCTGCTGAATTTTCTGTTGAATAGTTGCTGTTCGTCTGTCAGTCGTCCAGTGTCCTGAAAAGGTTTTAGGAGCCAGTTCCGCAGGGGGTAGGCGGAGTCCCCTAGGAGGTAATAGCCAGCAGTCACCCCACCAATTTCTCTTGTGTGAGCTGGGAAGAGGCTTCCCCGGCAGGCTAACTCCCATAGGTTAGAGAGTCTCAAGACCCTGGCATCATGCAAGCTCCCAGGCAATCCGGCAAACACGTTCCAAAAAAACCCCTTTCCATCAACCACACCTTGGAGAATAATGGAATGCCACCCTTTGCGGTTGAAATAGTCACAATGACATTCCTGTGGAGCCATGATAGGGATGTGGGATCCATCAATGGCACCAACACAGTTGGGTTGGGAACAGATGGGTTCAGTACCAATCTGTTCTCGTTGTAGGCAGCAATCTCCCTGAATTTCTCCTCAGTAGGACAACGGATCTGCGCTGGGACCAACACCGCATTTGCTGCAGCACAAAAGTCTTGGACACAGCGGCACACCATTGTTATACTGACTCCAAAAAGGTGACCAATGCTTCGGTACTCAAAGCCAGTAGCAAGTTTCCAGAGTGCGATAGCCACTCTCTTCTTTAGGGGCACACATACCCGGTAAGTAGTGTCTTGTCGCTCCATAATCAAGCGCAGCTTTGTGCAGAGGTAATCAAACGTTTCTTTGGACATTCGGAAATTCTGCACCCACTGCGTGTTGCTGAAGCTTGGGACTACAATATCCCACCACTCGGAGGCTCGGTTTAAGGCCCACACCGATGGCTTGCGGCGGCGACGCAACCCGAGAAGCATCTGAAACACACACATACAGCATACACATTTTAATGATTTACAGAGACAGCCAGCAGCCATTTTGTTCAGGACGGCTGCTACAAAGCTAGCGATAGCAACATTAGCTTACCCACAAACGTCGTCTTTTTTCACCTCGTTGTCTCCTGTCCTCAACTGCAAACTCCTGCAAGGTTTTCAATAACTTCGTCATTCTTTGGTGTCTCGCCGCCTGGATTCTTCTCAGGCTTTTCAGTCTATTTTAGCGCTTTTCCACAGCACCGGCACTACACCACTCTACACGACACGGCGCGTTACTTTTGCATTTCCACTAGCGTTGAAGCTAGGTATTGTGTTCTATTTTCGGACCGCCTCTGGAGCGGTTCCAAAAAGCTACACGCTCGTGACGTAAGCGGACTGCCTACGCTATTGGCCAACGGCTCTCTCACACTATTGGCCAACGACTGTCGTCACTGGTAGCGTCATAAGTGCGACGTCTGACCGTATTGAGAGACAAGATTCAACCCCGCCATTTTTAAAACAGCCCTGTGAGCATACGTACTGCACTCGAGAAATGGAATCCAGCAAGCCGCAAAAGTCCACACCGTGGTCTGTTGATGAGGTCCAAACATTTCTGTCTTTACTGGCCGAAGACAGAATACAGAAGGAGCTCGATGGCAGTACGCGAAATGAGAAGGTCTATAAAGAGATCGCCCAGCTCTTGCTTACACATGGTTTCCACCGTACGCATCAGCAGTGCAGGGACAAGATTAAGAAGATGAAGTGCGATTACCGGGCCATAAAGGACCACAACGGCCGAAGTGGGGTCAATCGGAAGACCTGGAGGTGGTATGCCGAGATGGATGCCATTTATGGCCACAGGCCTGCAAACAATGGACGGGAGTGTGGTTTGGACTCTTCTTCCACGTCGAGAATGGGCGATAATGGTAAGTGCTTTGTAACTTTTATCTGTAGTTATTGTGAAAATGCATTATCACGTCACCTGTGGCTCAATGCCCACTGGATTGTATTTATTCATGTAAACGTTTAATTGTTGTCTGCTGTACAAAGTGAGCTAGCTACTTTAAGCTATCGATAGCAAGCTGCTAACACGTGCTACGTCTTGCCATTTCACGTGTTGCCATTCAGTTTTGTGCTTTTACTTAAGTCGTTGTGTGTGTTTGTCTTATTATAGAATCCCTTGTCGCAAGTGAAGCGTCGAACGACCCCCCAAGGTCCCCGTCCCCAATCCCTCCAGAACCAGCTGCTGCTTCGACGCCTGATGCGTTCCCTTCGATGGCGAGCGACACGTCTAGCAGCACACAGCGTGTGGTCACAGGTAAGGCGCAGGGCAGACATAATACTGGTCTGGTCTTTCTCTGGTCTGGTCATTCTGGTCTCTCTCTGGTCTGGTCTTTCTCTGGTCTGGTCATTCTGGTCTCTCTCTGGTCTCTTTCTGGTCTCTCTCTAGTCTCTCTGGTCTGGTCTCTCTGGTATCTCTCTGGTCTCTCTCTGGTCTGTGGTCTCTGTGGTCTCTCTCTGGTCTGTGGCCTCTCTGGTATCTCTCTGGTCTCTGTCTGGTCTGTGGTCTCTGTGGTCTCTCTCTGGTCTGTGGCCTCTCTGGTCTCTCTCTGGGCTCTCTCTGGTCTCTCTCTGGTCTCTCTCTGGTATCTTTGATCTCTCTCTGGTATCTTTGGTCTCTCTCTGGTATCTTTGGTCTTTCTCTGGTCTGGTCTCTCTCTGGTCTCTCTGGTCTCTCTGTCCTCTGGTCTCTAACCCTTTATTAGATGTTTTTAAAAACATCTAATAAAACCACCACATTTTAACCTCTTAATGGAGTAGATTTTATATAAATCAATTTGTTTTCAAAATCCTTTGCTGCTTAATATTATAATTCATCACCCTGGGAGAAATTCATGTCCTATAGCAGCAAAAAAAAATAAAACAACTACATTGATACTGTGCCGCAACAGTGCAGCTCTATACCGACACCTGGTGGATCTCAGAAGTAATTGCATTCAACTCGGTGAAGTATGTCCAATTAATGCATAGTTTGGACACTATCACCCTAGCTTTAGAGAATGTCAATAAAAAAGGAATCGGACCACCTGTCAGTGATCTAACACTGACAGGTAATAATCTTTTTGCCTACATAAAAGTATGTCTCCAGAAATGTCACTGCTTTGGATAATTACCAACTGTTAATACTTTTTTTATTGTTGTACAGGGAAGAGAAAAAGGGCGCTCTTCCAGACGGAGACAGTAGAAATGATGAGGCAGATCCAAGCTGAAGATGTGGTGCAGCAGGAGCTGAACCGGACACAGCAACTCCAGCTTGTCAGAGAGTCGCAAGAGTTGGAAGCGACATTGAGGAGGGAGGAAAATGCACAGGCGGCTGCATTTAACCAATCGTTTCTTGGTCTCCTGGGCCAGCTGGTGGAAGCCATGAGTGGCCGCCGAAACTGACACTCTTCACCAAGACAATAATTTTATTGGTGCACTTTAAAATTGTTTTTTTTTAAATAAATGTGTGATTTTTTCCAAGACAGGTTTCATTTCTCGGTACACATGACAGTTAA